TTGATCTATTACTTAGTTTATAAATTTTGTATAGTTTTTTTTAAAGACAAATTTTTTATACTCTCTATAATTCAAACGATTAGACACTTAAACGCTACAGAGAGTCAATACCTACGATTTATAAATGTAGCTAATTTAAACATCAAGGCCTATAAAGCTAAGTTCGGTATTACTTCTGTCGAGTAACATGATATTTTTTTTATTTACAAGCGAAAATTTCCTTATAAAGTAACATTATGACCGTGACATGAAATTTGTTTTCTTTTTCTAGTCAAAAAACAGTATGTGACTATCTATTGTGTTAAAATTATCATATTATTCGCTAGAAACGATACCGCGGATCATTAACGCAATCCAATGCCAATATAGATAAATATAACAAGAGACCAAAAATGCGAATAGCAAATACAAGTGTGTGAAAGCCTTCTAAACCTTCAAGATATGGTCCTGCATCACATTTAAGAAACACTAATATATCAATGTAGCCGCTAACTATTATTACCGTGAGGAAAAATAAGATATAATGTGTAAACGGCATAAATAACATATATATACAAATGGCATAAATATTTTCAATTGATTGTTTTTCATTCACTTTTTTTATATAAGCGAGGGCAAACGAGTATGCGGTACACCTGATGGTAAGTGTCAACATATCAATATATAATAATTATAAGTAACCTTTTCTTTACAAATTCATTTATACTTGCCACATGATTTGAATGGTTTAATATTAATCGCTTTTTATTTAAATGAAAAAGTTTACTTTAAAAAAATATCTATACCATGGGCATATATATATATATATATATATATATATATATATATATATATATATATATATATATATACAGTAGATTTTAATAACATTATCTCTATGCACAGACAACTAGTATTCTGTTTATTTGTCTCAAGCGTAATATCACCTATCTTTTTCCTCACAATAAAAAGTTACCTGGTATATTTGACATTTGATTCTAAAGACAGAGAGGGGTAATGTGTCATCACTAAGCAAAAATTTGCTTTTAGCAATAACAATTCATCAGTAATAGTACCCTTCTAACAAGCTCAATCGATTATCCTAATTTAAACTTCCAAATCAATAAAGAACCAACAGCATTCACAAAGCTATAATTCGATCAAATTCTAACCACAAATTTTGTTTTCATAGTTGATAACAATATTAGACAGAGAATATGTAACCGCTATAAAGTAACGGATCCAATATGCAGCAAATATTTTATTTTATTTACGTTGATTTTCTCATACTTTTATGTTCATATTTACTAAATACGACATGATACAAGACAAAACCGCTACAATTCATTATCTGTTTCTGTTTGTAAGGTTGTAATCAGCGTTCGCTAGAGGGCGTAAAGCTAACGTCGAAAATGACAACTGACATAATCTGTGACATTTTTAAAACGACAGACATTTTACTAATTAATAAACAATTCATTGCTAACCTTTTTTGTCCTCTTTGCTTACCACTTTTCCTTCTTGATATTTCATTCCCAATATAAATACAATCATGGTTTTTGACTGGAGCATAAGAAATGCCAGAGCAGCACGTATGAATTGCGGGACCAGTTGTAATGAAACTGTATGTTTTAATATTTAGCAGACTTCAAAAAAAGGAGGAAGATTACAACAGAACTTTTTTGTACGCAATATTTTCGTTAATTGTAAACTTATTTTGACAATTCTTTTTTATTAAATAATAATACGTAATAATACTTTAGGGGTGGTCCCATATGGATTTTGAGAAAAAGAATGTTAAATTGATGAAGTTTTGAATGTAACTTGTTAGACATTGAGATTGTGATGTTCCTTAGTCCTCTCAAAACCGTGAAAAAAATTAAAAACTGTTTTAAAAGAATTAATAAGAATAAAATAATTTCATATTGTTAATCCGGTGTCAATTGTTTAATACATTATGTCTTAAAATCGATTTCTGAATGTGAAATTATAAAAAAATTAAGTCATTAAAGCTTTTACTTTTATTAAAATATATTTTTTTACATTTGGTATCGCAATGCATACGTCTTTGATTGTTTTTGCAAATATTGACTGATATTTTGCAAAGCATTTTCATGAATCAAATCAAAAACTAACACTGTGTGTTATGTTTATAAGAAAAATACACTATTTAATGCCTTATAATAAAATACATTTACATATATAATTCAATGGGTAACATATTTTTGCTAAAATACATAAGTAATTTCTATTACTTTTAACACTAATATAATAAATAAATTATGAAACTCAATTCATGCCTTTCATACATCTATCAAGCACCATTCTTTTTATGCTTAAAGTATACTCGTGAAGACCAATGGCAAAATAATCGAAACCGTATTTGAGAATTAAACATAAGTACATACTGGTGAAATCTAATCGATCATGAAATAAAATCTATGAAACAAAATACCATAACTACATCATTTAGAATTACAATCTGACATAATAAATGAGGGTAGATTTATATATAATTTTGTAAAACGTAAAAGCATAGCCTTAGTAAGTTTATTATATAAACATAAATATTGATCATCCATTTCAACATCAAAAAATTCCATGTACACATTTGAAATGTGAGAAATTATTCTATTAGTTATCTATCAAAATTACATTTTATAGTATTTGTAAATTAGCTGCTGCTTTCGTACGAAAATTATATGAAATGATACATTTTGACACAAATATGATATCTTAATAAAGACGATTAAGTATGATACAACATAAAATAATCGTCACATGATATAATTAAAACTCATTCGAAAATTTTATAAGGTAACATGATATGATCAAATTTAGCAATGTATTCGGTGAATATGTCAATATGATGATGTTATTCTTGTACTTACTAATTTTATTAGATGGTTTTAATGGAACAAATAATAATTAATCGAGACTGAAAACCACAAATTAGACCAATAAACGGGTTAAAATAAACAAATAAAATTAAAATTGTATTATTCATAAAATCATTTCAAAATATATAATTAAATGCAAGTTCCATTATTTTCAGATAAATGAAAGTAACATTCACAAAGTTTCAAAAGATTATCCTTAGATTATGATGCTCAAATATTCAAGTAATCAGCTGATAGAAACAAAAGCCCTGAAAAATATAGTCCTGAAGGTTAAACACATCATTTAGCCTTCGGGGCTATATAGGATTTTTAATTATATTATAAAACACTGGTGGTACGAAATCTTCCAAAGATCTTAAATTGGAAAGTTCAATTAAAAAAAATCGCTGGGTACCTAATTAGTATATATATTAAAATAAATATTAAGGTTTGCTTACACCTTGTTTATTATAGAATATAAATATAAATTGTATATTTTTGATTATTATAGAGATATGCCACTAGCAACACTAGCGATGATTTCATGATCTCCTACTTTGGTTTAAACTATTTTTTTTTATTCAAATAAAGGAATGCGATGTATTTTAAATGTCTGCGTATGCAGAATACACATTTCCCCGAGAGAGTTGGGTTTTCTACTATATTGTAAATTGACATTTATTTGTTCTTACTTCAAATATGTCTACATTACAATGTTTTGGTGACAAAGCTTACTTTACGGTTAATATCTCGAAACCTAAAACGAAGTAAAACGCGGCATGACTAAAAATCACATAATAAGTAATTGACTACACGTACAATAAGCGTAAAAAATAAATTCACCAAATTCCACTTAAATCATATGAGGCTGATTGTACATTTGCAATCTGTACTTATTAGAAACAAAACGTCACCTGGCCAACGCACTGTATAATATGAAATTCCAACTAAGAACATTTTATCAGGGATTGAAAAGCTTCCAAATATACGCATATTTAATAGTTACAATGTTAAAGCCGGAATCGAAACCCCATACCTTAATAAAAACCTTGGAGACGTTTATTTAACTGGTACAGAAATAGAACAAGTTCAAATTAATTGAACGAATAAAAATGGGCCGAAATTATGTTTATATTTGTTATTACTATTTTTATAAAACAATTTAAGTCAAACTATATTATAAAAGATAAGGAATAATTTTTATAACTATTAAATTAAATATCAGTCTTAATTTTTAGGTTGTCCTTGCTGATTTTCATCATAATTATAGTAATAAAAAACTGCATCGGAATCAGAGATACCTTACACTAAAAACGTAGCACATCCCGAAGGTTGATGCCCTCAACATTGAACCTGTAAAATCGGTACGTCAGTATTTAAGGGCCGGTACCAATTAAATCATACCTAACCGAAATCTGACCGGAAAACCAAGCATTAGGAATCTAAAAAAAACCGTAATAAAATTTAGAACTGGATTTCAATCCCTGAATAAAACGTAAGGCGTTAATATTTAACTACCTAAATTATTATTGGTTAATAAATATTTAACAGTGCGAAATAACACCCAACAAAATCTTTAAGATTCTTTGACACAGACATAATATATAAGACAACACGACTTAATTAAAATAATATTATGTGATGAAAACCATATAATAATATGTGATTGTTACACATACAAAATAACTTAATTACACTGAATTAGAGCTAAAACACAACGCAATAATACAACGCGAACTTCTTAGAAGACAATACTGTGACACCACAATAAGACAAAAAGAAATTAAAAACGAATAGGAATATCTATTTTACCATCGGAAATCGAAAATGGCGGTCGGTTTGAATGAGTCTCGTTCTCACACCTGCAACTGTCACTGAACTGACAGCTGTCATTGTCATTCATTATCAAAATTTCATCTCTTCCCGTATGATAAAACACCGTATCCTTATATAATTGTTTCCCTTCGGTTTGACTGTTTGGGTGAGCACTGTTAGAGTTTTGAAGGGGTGTGTCACAGTGACAATGATCAGCTGCGCAGTGGCGTGACACAAGGCGCGTGTCACTGTGACACACGCCACTGTGACACGCGCCGCAGTGACATACCCGCCTCCCGTTTACTCTTCCTTCTTCTGCATCTCGTGTCATACGAAATCCATGGCGTCGTGGGCCTTCGTCGAGAACTTTCCGTGCGACCGCTTCTTGATGGTGCGCTCTATAAACTTTTTAATCTCGCTAACTATGAACACGCTTGACGTCAGGCAAACTAAGAATATGAGATCTGGAATAACATATGAAAATCAGTATTATGTGCATATGGAGCAATAGATACCGTATTTGGAATATTATGGTAATAAGCTGGTAGGTTTCCTATTTCATTTCTCACTCTCATCTCTTACGTCACCCATAAAATATGGTGTAGTGGATTCTGTCATGCCCTAACTACACGTCAGAGTGAAATGAAACAGGACATTCTGAGCCCACATAACAACTAAAAAATAATAATAACAAAAACTGCAGTTGCCAGCCCACCAGCCAAACGTGGCAACTATGGAAAATATATAAGGCAATATTTACTAATGAATGAAAATGGTTAATAGTTGGCAACAAATCATTTAATCTTAGTTCTCGGCGGTGACGATATATTTACAACTTCATTATTTTTGAAAATGAGAATGATCGTAGTGTCTATGGTAATGACCACTGAGTAAGTCGCTTATTCAATCACCACCCGCACTTAATCGGTTAATTTATTGAAATAATATCGCTTTAGTCTATACATAAAAACAAATATTACGCTCAAAAACAGACTCTCAGAATAAAAACTAGCTAATAATAGCACATTACAATCTAGCTGTAGGCTCTTTTACTTGAATAGAACAAATTATTTTGCTCACCCCGGTTACTAACATTAAATAATTTAGCTATGAAGTACATAGCATTACAAGTTAGGGTCAATTTTAAATACGCACCATGGCCGGTAAGAGCCTCAGTTTGGAACACTCGCTGAAGCGGCGGGAAATATATCACGAGCATTTGTCCCACCAAGCTCAAAGTCACTGCCACCAAGAACATGCTGCGAAGATAAACTTTAGTTACAACGAAGCCTGTCCATTTATTTAATGCAATTTCATTTAAAAGCTAGTTGTCTGAATGACATAAATAAGCAAATACGATATAATATGAATTGGTATTTCGTATAATTATCACATGAATTGTGATATAATGATATTATATAACTCATAACTAAGTTCATACTAATTTTTAATATGCCAACGTTTTTTTATCAAATGCCATTAAAATATTATAATAATCATACATAATTAATAATAATAATCATCACCACTATCATCATTAGAGTCCTTGCGCAAATGTATACTTTTTAAGTTTTTCTTTGTAAAATCTTAGCTTAAAATAATGTTAACATTGTCAAAAACACTAACTCATAATATATCAAGTACAATATCAGTGACTGAAGGGTAAATTGTGACATTTATTTATTTATATATATATATATAATAATATACAGATATATATTTCAATATTTACATAAAGGTGATAAAGACGAAATTAGTACTAATTTCAGCTTATACCAATTGCAAATATTAGGTCATTGTCAATGAAAATTCATTCCTTTTATAACAGTGTAATTTAAAACTGCAATTCTCAAGTGTGATGAGTGATAACGTAACGAGGCAATAATTTCGATGACCACTATAACTTTTACTCACCGATTAGAGAATAGGCCCACTTGGAACACAGATTTTGACTGTGTGCGGCACGAGAGAGCGTTGAACATGTCGAATAACACGAAGCACGTGAAAGTCATCGTCGTATCTCGGGGGGTTATCTTGTTATCTGACATCTGGAAACGAGTAATAATTCAAATCGAAAATTATTTTTACATTCTTTTGAAAAGTAAGTACTATGGTCCTGACATTTTTATCGGTTCTTCCTCGTCAGAGATCTAATTTTTGAAATTGTGTTCTTAAAATAAACAAAACTGATATTATGTTTATATAACGACAATTAACTTCATTAACCGCATATTAAATTAAAGATTGGAGTATGGACGTTACAAAAGGCAAAATAAAAGGATGATTAACCAATATGATAAATACCTCTTTCCTAAGATGGAATTGGTAGAATACCTATTGAGAATAACAATGACGTCACAGTTTCTTGCAATCAATTAAACATTTAAAGTTGCTCTCTCTCTCTCTCTCTCTCTCTCTCTCTCTCTCTCTCTCTTTTACTCACGCACTCTTTTTATCCTAGACGTTGATTCGCTCTCCAGCAACGACTATGTGTGAAAACCACCAGATTTGTCTGGATCAATAAGACTGGATCTTCATGAAACGCACTTACTCCTTTTTAAAAGGCCGGCAACGCACCCTTGAGGTAGCAGTTGTTCATTGACGGCGGTCGATACTAACCATTAGGTGAGCCTTATGCTTACCCCCTGTTATATAAAAAAAAACTATGATGTTACAGTTTATTTAAATTCTTTTAAGAGACTAGAGACTAATCCGAGTATTCCATTGCAAGAATTATACCACCTGATTTATCCGGCTTTTGTTTTTCTCTCTCTTTCACTTTGTAAGTGATATTTTGTATAATATGTATTGTTAATATGTATCATGTTATTTTATTTTTATATTATATTATTTTATATTTTAAAAAATAAAACTATATTTAAAAACTATATAAAAAATTATTTATTTAAAGATTTTGAATATAAGTACCCGTTTATATATTTATTATTCATTTATTGTTATAAAGTAGATAATATGTTCGTATATTTTTTACTATACAACGTGCAGCAACAATGGTGACTTTAATGTAACACATATATACGTTTTCACATTTTCGTTTCGTGAAGAAATTGCATTTCCATTAAACGTTACTATTTACGGAAGTATTTAAAAATTTTAAAAAATTGCATCTCAGAGCAACCTGTACTTAGAGAACTGCCGCGCAGCGGTCATTTGATGGGTCACGGATCATAAGATCGCATCATTGTAATTAAAACGAATAAGCAAAACTATTGTATAAAAGAGCCACGCAACGCACGCCCTCCCACCCCGCTGCACCGAAATCGAATTCTTTTTTTTTTGCTTTTCAGGTGCTAGCCGAATCCGTGTCCTTGGCACACTTCTTCACAGTAGTGCGCTTAATTACGTCGACTAATATTTTTGTTAACCTATCCGCGAAAAAGACGCTAACCTATTGCTTTATTTATTAATTTTTGTGTAATTAGGATAGTAATTAGATTATGGTACAGCGATAAAGACGCTTTGTTTTGTTTTCGGTTTCTAATCTAGTAGGTACGTTTACATCTCTTGCGATACGGACGCTTTTATTTGCGTTATTAGAGCTTGTGTAAATTTGTAATCGTAATGGCAAGTACACATCCGAACTACACAGCAGATCAATATGCGGACCTGATCCTAATTTACGGAGAATGTCGTCAAAATTTCACTCTTGCGCTAAGGACATATCGCGAGAGATGAGGCCATTGAAGACAATACCCTACTCATACTCGCACTATTGTAGGAGCTCTTCAGCGCATCTGCGAAAACCGTCAAGTGGATCCTAGGTCTCTGATCGACCGCTTACATTATAAAACCAATTCAGTTAACCCAAAATTCATGGTGACAATATTATCGGACCCGTATTCATTTTGGGCCTTGAACGGAGAAAGGTTTGCTAGTCTGCTAAATGACACGGTGTCAGAATACACAAACAACCGACACGTCCATCGATACCAACGAATGTGGTACCAATTAGATGGCGCGCCAGTACACTCTGTAACAATAGGCAGGCAGTGGCTAAATGACACGTTTGGTGCACAATGGATTGGTAGCTTTGAATCTTGTAGGTGGCTAGTAAGATCGCTAGAACTCACGCCACTCGATTTTTTTTGGGGGTGCATCAAAGGCAATGTGTACGCGGAGAACATGGATTCAGTGGAAAAATTACTGAAATGGCTATAAGTGACAATTTATTTTCAAATGTGCGAGAAAATATGAAATGCCGTTTAGCTCTTTGTATCCGCTAACACGGTGGTCTCATTAAAAATAGTAAAATTTAAAATAAAGACAAATAAAACCAGTGATTAGCAATGACAGTTATAGTAACAAGACAGGGTGATATGATAAGTGTTTGACTAAGCACTTCCGCTGTAGGTACCCTCCGGCGCCAATAGGTTTCTTTGATAATAAACCGTCAAAGAATCGAACCTATCACGAGTAGGTACAAGATTAGAGCTAGGTACATAAGTAGTTTGATGCGGAGCGGTACCTCGCGGTTGAAGACCCAGAGCGTGCCGGCGATGATGATGGCGGCGGACAGCAGCACGGACAGCAGCAGGCCGCGCGAGATGATGCGGCGCGACGTGTCGCGCGGCCGCCGCAGCACCACCTCGTGGTCCACCGGCTCCACGCCCAGCGACTGCGCCGGCGGACCTGGCACACACCTCGCTAACTAATCATCACCATCATCATTACAGCCCTTCACACTTACACTGCTGAACATAGGCCTTCCCCAAGGAATGCCACAAAGCACGGTCCTGTGCCACCTGCATCCATCGACTTCCTGCATGTCTCACCAGGTCGACACTCTATCTAGTGAGGGGCCACCCTACACTTCGCCTACTGGTACAAGTCTGCTACTCGTGAACATTTTTCACCATCGATTGTCATTTCTTCTAACTATATGGCCAGCCCATTGCCACTTTAGCTTACTAATCCGTCCTCATTTCTAACTTTACCACGCAGAAAACCCCAAGTTATAGCCCTCTCTATAGCTCGCTGAACGACCTTGAGCATGCTTATACCACCAGCAGTGAAGAACCACCTCCTAAGGTATACCTCAAAACTTGAAAACAAGATTGTACAACTAGTGTGTTGCCAGTGATTAATTATAGATCTGATACGTGGTAACTTACTGTTGGCCATATGAAGAAGTTCAAGGTCGCTCATCACAAATTAATAAAGGCAATCTATCTATATATGATACATTTAAATAAAACGAGCACTTTACAGCAGCCCTGGTCATGGTGACTGAAATGTTTGACATCCCAATTTCATAGTTAACCACGGCTACCTCCAGATTAAAATTATTAATTTTTGTTCCTATGTACGCAGTATGAATTTATAGTATCTAGAAGTCTTGCAGTTGTTTACTTAGTTTGGGATTTAATTTTATTAATTATAGGACCCCAAGCTGATGGTAGCACCCAGCTACCTTCTCTATTGAAATTAGGATGTTTTTGATTTCAATAGCCTCGCGAATTATCCTTGGAAGGAATCGATATTCTTTAACGAGGATTTGTGGTCTATTAAAGCTAATGTAGAGACGATGAGTTAGAGGCAAACAATTCTTTAGCTTTTATAGATGTGTTAGTAATTCGGAATCCTGATAAAACCTTGAGCCACACTGTGTATAGATAAAAGGTCCATACATATAGATATTTAAACGGTGATTCTCACCATCATCCTTCACAGTAAGCTACCGTGGGTAAATCATTGTTTCATAAAGCACGTGGAATCTGTGACAGTAACCACCCGGTCGCCGAACTCCAACACTTGAAGCAAGTTTTCGGGTTCCGCGCCTATGTCACAGTGACCGAGTGAAGCCGCCCACAGTCGAGCGAGTGCCTGCTATACTGCCATATGTCAGAGGTGTCAATGACAAGATTGGCTTCATTTTGAAGCGTGCTTTCGTTAAAACATACTTCAAGCCGCCGAAGAAGATTAGTTAGTTTTTACCATCAGTCAAGTATAATGTCCCTCTGCAAGATGCAGGAGTGTACAAGCTTGATTGTGAATATGGTCTCTCTTATATAGGATAACCTAAAAGATCAATAAAAACCCGCGTTAAAGAACACATCCACCACGATTCCATGACCATGGGCGGTGTAAAGTGCTCGAAACGTCGGGAATAAAAAATAAGTTAATATACGCACTAAAATCCGTAAAAACTAATTTTATTTAAATGTGGCAAGGATAGATGTAGATGTCTATGGGCCACAGCATTTTCTTACCACATGAACTGTGTTGTTCGTTTGCCACCCTTATTCTATTAAAAATGCTTATTTACTGTAATTTTTGTTGACGTATTTCTAAAATAACTAAGTTACTAATTCATACCGTCCATAATAATATTGATCCATAATATCTGCATAGCGTTAAGGGGATTGGGTATCCCCATAAGTGTTGCCAGTGCGATAAGCGACAGCGCCGCTATAGAAGTCGACAGCTGGAAGCGGACGAAGTTGCGGATGTTGTAGAAAATACACTTGCCCTCCTCTATAGCCGCTCTGTAATAATATTTAAAAACGGTTACGTTTTCATACAATCGAAAGTAATTCAGCAGCAAAGAACTAATTCACAACCTACTCTGAATGACGTCATACGTAAAATAATAAATGATTGTTGCAAGTTATATTATATACGACGCGACCTGCCCCGGCTTCACCAGGTTAGAATATATTAATGTAGCGCTATTTAGATTTAAAATAACGATTACGGAGTCTTACCCCGTAATAAACAAACATAATATCACGTTAATATACCGACTGTAGGTTAAGGTCACCCTCACCCTTCGGGCATTTTGTAAAATAAGCCATTTTTATAATATAACTATTGTGCTCCTGTGTTTCGTATGATGAGTTTTGTTTTTTGTATTTCATTGTGTTTTGATTCTGAGTTGAGGCCAGATACATGGACCATAGAATCTATTTATCGCCAGGCAGGCTAACGGTACGTGTGCACGAAAACCGATTTTGACGGCCGATGGCGGACAGAACTACCCGGACGAGTAACTCGGACGTGTATGTGCTTACATTGCAACAGTTAACCACGTGTGCCGACATTGAACGTTGCCGGTATTCTGTAGTTGACTGTGTTGCTTAACAGAGTGAAGACGCATTTTTTTAAATATCTGGAACCGCATTTCCGATCCAAGTTTTGCCCAGTTTCGAAACCTCTCGATTATTGTAATTGTCTATTATAAACACAAGTAATTAATTTTTCAATATCCATAGTCGTTTAGGTAGATAACAACACTGACAAAAACAACAGAATAAAGACAAAATGATTAAATTAAACTATAAGTACACTCAATTTGCACTGTAGACGCCGGCAATCTGGCGAGAAATCCCAACAAGTTCGGACTCAATGGTTGATCGGCTGTTTTCGTGCGTTATCGGATGATGACGGTCGTGTTTGTGTACGCACTCTCTTTCTTTTACAAGTGTTTGATTCGATCGTCCGAGTTCGGCCGTCATCGCTCGAGCAAACTTCGGCCGATGATGGATTAGGTGTACGCGTACCCCAACTATACATTCGTTTGTCGGCCGTTAATACCGTAAACTCACATTATTGTAGCAAAGTCGTCGTCGACGAGAATCATGTCGGCCGCTTCCTTGCACACGTCCGTACCGTTTCGACCCATCGCTATTCCAATGTCTGCGCGTTTCAACGCCACGCCGTCGTTTACACCGTCCCCTGAAAATATAAACAATAATGAATCGTCATCATCATTATAAAGCCAGAGTTGGCAAGGGTCGCCGTAGACGGAAGTTTATCGACCAAATTATGATATGATTATTGTTGCGCGCCACTATTAATGTCTTGTACATGGCAACACTAGTTACACTAGCGCCCTCTAGTGTCGAGTAGCAGAACTAGGAGTCGAGATCCTTCCAGAAATTTCGGGACCGATATGTACTCGAACATTCTAGATGTAGCTACAGTAGAATGTTCTGGAAACTATCTGAGGCCTTATATAAGGCCGGTATAGACCACGACCGGGGCAGTATTGAATTGGCGATACAAGAGAATACTTCGAACCGAAACAACTGCGAAATTAAGTGAACTAAAGTACAACTGTGTTTTATTATTAGTGTGATTTAAAGTTGTAATTAGTGTTGTGTATTTAAAGTGTCAATTTTGGTAATTCAATCGGCAGTTTTTGTCTCGAACCCCAAGCTCGTAACAATTGGTGTCAGAAGTGGGATCAAATCATGCCGATTTTACCAAAGGACGACATGGAGGGTATCCATACCCGAAGTCAACGCCAGCTGGAGACGGACCAGAGACGATTTGGTAATGCATCGCCGCAAACGTCTGAGGGCCAACCACGGAGGCCGGTCCGTCAGCAGCACCTGACTTAGGTGCTCTGATGATGATGCTGCAGGAGCAAGCCCGCCGACAGGAGGAACAGGCCCGTCGGTTAGAAGAGCAGCTGCAGCGTGGACAGGAGGTACAGGCCCGCCAACAGGAGGAACAGGCCCGCCAACAGGAGGAACAGGCCCGCCAACAGGAGGAACAGGGCCGTCAGTTGGAAGAGCAGCTCAAACGTGATAAGGAAGAGCAGATACTTCTCATGAAGGACGTTCACGCTACCTTTGGGAAAGAGATAAGGGAGGTGAAGGATAAGGTTGCTCGATATGACAACCGCCTGTCGGAAGCTGTATATGCTATGTCGGAATCGACCAAGTGTACAATCGGGTTGACAACGTGAAAGCTGCCGTGAAGAAAACGCTGGACAACCTCAAACTTGGGGAAGGAGTTACAGCTCCCGTGGTAGCTACAACACCTTCGCGCTACATGGATTCAAAGCGCCGCCGTTCGACGGGACTTCTTCCTGGTCGGCCTATAAAATCCAATTCGAGGCTGTCATGAAGGCGAACGGCTGGAATAAAAGTCAGGCCATGACTGCTCTCACCCTAGGCCTGCGTGACCAGGCCTTACGAGCAGCTCCTTGAAGCATTGGAGGCGAGATATGGCGACGCTCAACTGGAACACGTCTTTCGTGCGCAGCTCAAAGATCGCGTGCAACGCAGTAACGAAAACCTGCAGCAGTGAGCCCTTGAGGTGGAGAAACTGGTTCGAAAAGCGTACCAGTCTGTACCTGCGCTCATTGTAGGGAACCTGGTGCAGACATTCACCGACGGCATCCGCGACCTTGAAGTCAGAGTTGCTGTGAGGCTCGGGCACCACGAGATGCTTAAGGACGCGATGGCGCATGCACTGGAGGTGGAAGCCGTGCGACAGGATCATCGTTCCTATCGCGTCAGGCAGGTTGCAGCAGCTACAGTTCGTGACCGCAGTAAAGGATACAGACCTAGGTGCTACGGCTGTGGGGAGATGGGCCATCTTCGATTCAGCTGCCCTAAGCGAACTGTAGAAATGGAAGGTGATCGATCTCGAGTGGGTAGTGCGGCTAACAGCACCGCCCAGCAGCAGCAGGGAAATTCGCGGGTGCTGGCTGATGTTAAAAGAGCCCCCCCCCCAAGAATTTCGATCTCACAAACCCGTGACGGGTTTGTGAGATCGAAATTCTTGGGGAAATTCCGTTGACCTCGTCCTTGATGATCAGCTTGATCATCAAGGACGAGGTCAACGGAACGTCGTGTAAACTGACCATAGACACAGGAGCCTCTCGCACGGTTGTCAGTTCCCAACTTATAAGTCAGTTCCTTGGGGACTCCGCATACAACCGCGAACGCATTAATATGGTGACAGCCACCGGTCAGCGCATACCCGTCCGTGGAGAGAAGGAGATGGAGTTGAAACTAGGCAACATGATCTACCTGCATAATGTCATCGTGGCTGATATAATGGACGACTGCATCCTGGGCCTAGACTTTATGAGGAAGAATTGTTGTGAGATCGACGTTAAGCAAAGTGTTTTGAAATGTGGACAAGAGGAACTTTTCATGGAAGGGGCGTTACCAGGGAATGTGTACAGTTTTAAGAAGATTGTTCTTCCGCCGAGATCGGAAACGATTGTGCCGGTTAGTCTTCCTCGGAGTCCTGGGCAAACTCATCGTTGTGTACTCGTGGAAAGGGTAGACAATGACCTTCCATGGAAAGTGGCTTGAACCTTGGTCAGAACCACCGACATCTCAGGAGTACGTGTGTTGAACCTTTGCGATCAGGAACAGATTATAGAAAAAGGCACATTGGTTGGTACTAGTGAGGAAGTGGATTGGTTGCGTCGGTGCGAATATCTATGACTGGGACCCCCAGCAAGGATGGACAAACGAGAGTGACCACACTTTTAGAAGACTCTCGCAGCGTTCTCTCCCCGAATGAAATGGTCAAGGCGAAGAAGTTGTTACTCAAGTACACCAATGTTTTATCGTCAAACGAAGCTGACAAAAGACTGACTTAGTTCAACACAAAATAAACACAGGAGAAGAATTGCCTATTCGTCAGCGGCCAAGGAGATTGCCTGTACCACGTGAAAAGGAAGTGGAAACCATGATTGAGGGTGAAGGATGGTGTTATTGAACCTTCATCTAGTCCATGGTGTTCACCTGTGGTGCTGGTAAAGAAGAAGGACGGCAGCATGTGGTTTTGTGTTGACTACCGCTGCCTGAACGACGTTACGAAGAAGAACAGCTATCCCTTGCCAAGAATTGATGACACGCTGGACATGCTTACAGGCGTAAAGTGGTTTAGTACGCTGGACCTGAAAAGTGGCTACTGGCAGGTTGAAATTGACCCTAAGGACAAGGAGAAAACTGCATTCTCCACAGGAAAGGGTCTGTGGCAATTTAAAGTCATGCCGTTTGGATTGTGCAATGCTCCAGCAACGTTTGAAAGGTTGATGGAGCTTGTACTTACCGGGTTAATTGGAGATGTCTGTCTGGTCTACTTGGATGACATCATCATCGTAGGCCGTACGTTTGAGGAACACCTTCAAAACCTGGAACGCGTGCTCATGAAGATCCAGAGTGCAAACCTCAAGTTAAGTCCGAAGAAACGCTCACTATTCAAACGGCAAGTTAGCTTTTTGGGGTATGTAGTGTCGGAAGAAGGTATCCGCACGGATCCAGAGAAAATTTCCGCTGTCAAGGATTGGCCGTTTCCAAAAGACAAAACACAGGTTAGAGCATTTTTGGGTTTGTGCTCTTATTATCGGCGATTTTGTGAAGAACTTTGCAGATATAGCCAAACCTCTGCACAGACTAACCGAGGAGAAGGGACATTTCTGCTGGGAAGAAAGTGACGATCGGAATGGTGATCAAGAGATTGTGATAGCGTACTTCAGCAAGTCGTTGTCAAAGCCGGAAAGGAACAATTGCGTCACAAGACAGGTATTGCTTGCTGTGGTAAAGTCCTTGCAGCATTTTAGCAAATGTCTTCTGGGGCGGAAATTCCACTTACGAACTGGCCATGCTACACTGAAATGGCTATTGCAGTTCAAAAATACAGAAGAACAAGTTGCGAGATGGATTGAACTACTGCAGGAATACGACTTTGTGATCGAACATCGCAGCTGGAAATCTCACGGCAATGCAGATGCATTGTCAAGAAGACCTTGCCCTGAAGATTGCAAGCATTGTACTAGGCAAGAGGGTAAGGAAGTGGTATCTGTGAGGATGATCAGGACAGACCAGCTCAGCAATGAGTGGAAGGACAGCCTACAACATGCACAGCAGGAAGATTCGGACATTAAGCCGATTCTGGAATGGATGAAGGCCAGTGCTCCTAAGACCTAGTGGAGCGACGTCTCAGCAATGAGTTCGACCACGAAAAGCTATTGGGCCCAATGGGACAGCTTGCTGATTCAGGATGGAGTCCTGTGCCGTAAATGGGAAAATGGTCGGGGAGACAGTTGTCATTTGCAAATGGTTGTCCCTAAGGCAAAAGTACCGGATGTTCTACAGCTGTACCATAGTGGTTGTTCACGAGGCCACCTGGGAGTTAAACGAACTCTACTGAAGATCCGAGAACGGTTTTACTGGGTCCCCTGTCGTGACGATGTCGAGGACTGGTGCCGCCAATGTACAAGTTGTGCGGCTGTAAAGGGACCTCAAACTCGTAGTAGAGGCGCACTGAAATTGTACAATGTTGGTGCACCATGGGAGAGGATAGCCATTGACGTTGCGGGGCCGTTTCCGGAAAGTGAAAGTGGTAACAAGTATTTCATGTTTGTGATGGATTACTTCACTAAGTGGCCAGAAGTCTTCGCTATTCCAAATCAAGAAGCTTCAACAGTTGCAGATAAACTAGTTCATGAAGTCTTCTGTCGTTTTGGAGTACCCTTAGAGATTCACAGCGATCAAGGAAGGAATTTTGAGTCTCAAATATTCCAGGAAACTTGCAGAGTTATGGGTACTCATAAAACACGAACAACTTCTTACCACTCACAATCTGATGGAATTGTAGAAAGATTAAATCAGACATTGGAAAGGTACCTGGCAAAAGTTGTGGAAAAACAGCAAAGAGACTGGGACAGGCACATACAACCGTTTTTGTTGTCATATCGAAGCGCTGTTCACGAAAGTACATCAGTGACACCAGCTTTCGCAAACTTTGGGAGAGAATTACGGCTGCCTGCAGACCTGATCACCGGAATACCACCTGATGCCGCACGCAGTATAACCGATTATGCAAATGACTTGCGAAACAAAATGAATGACATTTATGAGCACGTCAGATAGGCGGGCCAGCAAACGTCTGAGAAGATGAAAACACGGTATGACCGCAAAATGAACAACAAGGGGTTCGACGAAGGTTCACTAGTGTGGTTACACAATCCAGTTCGCAGCAAAGGGAAATCTCCTAAGCTTCAAGCTAAATGGGACGGACCGTAGCGGATTGTGACAAGGATCAATGACGTAACCTACCGGATACAGAAAGGTGCCAGAGGTACTCCTAAGATCGTCCATGTGGTCAATAATGCTCTTCACTATTAATGTCTTGTACATGGCAACACTACTTACACTAGCGCCCTCTAGTGTCGAGTAGCAGAACTAGGAGAGTCAAGATCCTTCCAGAAATTTCGGGACTGATATGTACTCGAACATTCTAGATGTCGCTACAGTAGAAGGTTCTGGAAACTATCTGAGGCCCTATATAAGGCCGGTATAGACCACGACCGGGGCAGTATTGAATTGGCGATACAAGAGAATACTTCGAAGTGAAACAACTGCCAACTTAAGTGAACTAAAGTACAACTGTGTTTTATTATTAGTGTGATTTTAAGTTGTAATTAGTGTTGTGTAATTAAAGTGTCAATTTTGGTAATTCAATCGGCAGTTTTTAATTGTCTCGAACCCCAAGCTCGTAACATTATGTTGAATCAAATCAGTCTTACACCAAGACGAATTTGTAGACAAAATAATAAAAAAAACTGCGGTTGCCAACACGCCTCCTAAGCGTGGCAACTATGCCAAACTTCTCCCTATGATGCAATCTATAGGGGAGACCTACGTTCAGCAGTGGACTTTTATAGACTGTAATAAATAGAATATAAAATATTCTAATCTAAGAGACCTTTAAAAATACCTATTTTCAAATTTCTTGCCGCCTTGATAGGACATACTTTTAAAGCTGCTCTGCTGTCTTCAAGTATTCATGGTCCGGTTTATACATAACGTGACGACGTGTGAAACCTAGAATAGTCCCTCATGTCTAATCGTATGACTACATGTAAAGAGTGGCTATAAGATAAGGAGGGGGCTATGTACTCGAAAATGAAATGAAAAAGGAGCCTTCTTGGAGTCTGGAGTGATGAAAATTGCACGCAGAAATAGTATACATTTTTAATAATTTATATAAGGAATTTTTCAAAAACGTGCTACTTTTTGGTACATAAACCCTAGTTTATGACACAACAAATGGTGAAATTTCCGATATATATATATCACCGATTCGATTATATACATTAGCTATGGATCCGAAATATTTACCAAAACATGAGCGTTAATAGTGGTAATGATTTTTATTTTATTTTATTGCACAGCTTACAAACAATGTTTAATAGGAAAAGAGAAGATAATGATTATCTCAGTAAAGAAATTATGAGAGAGGCTGTCTGACATATCCACCAGAAACAGTGAAAATTGTATTTTCCCAAATGCAAGACATCATATGCAATATTTTAGAAAAAAAAAAGGGACAGAGCACAGTTATTTAATTATTGTAAAACAGTTATACTGGTTAACACATATTAAAATTTTTTGCAATGTAAAAAACATAGAAATGGTGTTGTCAAATTTATAATAGACCTAACCTGTCATTCCCACGATATTGCCAAGCCTTTGGAGCGACTTAACGATCGCAAGTTTGTGCTTCGGTGTTACCCGGTAGAATACGCTCACCTGTGGAAATAAGAATATCACGTTCTATAAACGAAACAAATTTATGACTTGTTTTTGGAAAAAAAAAAAAACATGTTAGAAAAATATCAATTTATTACAGCCTTCAAAAAAGAGGAATATGTTTTTGGTAATTTTTTGCGTTAGCCCTTTACTTCTCCAAGGTCTACAATGCCTTTGGCAAGACTATACGATTGAAATTTTGGACTTGTTACCTGATAAAATACGATCTCGAAAACGTTGTCGTTTTTTTAGAATTGTTTAATCTGATTTTTTCAGAGAGTGTCAAGGCAACGTAAGTTACACTTACATAGAGACAACATTTTTTTTGTGTAATAGTAATAACAATATGATAAAGGTACTAATAATACTATTAAGGAACGGTAAGGTAACAGCCAGTCAAAAGTTCACTGTTGAATATATGCCTCTCCTTATAAGGGAAAATATTTGCGTAGTTGTCACGTTTGAGAGGTGGTTTGCCAAAGCCTGACCTGAGCCTGTCCATCATAATAGTGAGTCGCCACGCTTGGCAGTACCAAATGTTACGCACCCTTGATGCCACTTCCTGTCATGGGTCTAGATATTTTACATGTTGTACAATATAGGATCGTATACTATTTAATACGAAAAATATACCAATTTATAACCTTACATTTAATATCAGAATACTGTGCTCTGACTTGGACAGTACTCTAATTTTCATACATAATACTAAAAACATAGAAAAATACGCCCATTTACTCACTGTCTCAATTATCCTATCCAACTCTTCATCCGACATGGAGTCCAACTGCTCGCCAGAGAGAGACTGTGAGTGCAACACGTCCAATCCAATCATTTGAGCTGGAGAAATTGTTTAAATTATTAAATAGTTAACTGAGGGTAGTCAATGAAAAGTTATTAAATAGTTAACTGAGGGTAGTCAATTAACGCAGGTCGTTTTGGCCGTGCTTTAGTTGGAGTCAATTTCGACATTTTCGAAGTATGCGGAATTCCAAGGTCGCTCAACAAGCTATTAAAAGTTCCACAAACAATTTTCGGGTTGGTAGAGCTCTATAAAGCGAAAAAGTTTCTTCATTTGTCATTATTGCCATTTTGTAGACACTAGGTCTGTGGTGTGAATATAAAATTTAAATCGGGTGCGTGCGATCATTCCGAGAGCTCGTAGCAAACTAAACGTGCGCCCAACATGTGGACGCGGTGGCCAATACACTGCCACAACCCTTTGATATTTTATAAAACACCGACACCACAGGGATGTCGCGCCAACTTGTGGGCCAACATTCCAATACATACCATGTGAAACACCCGTTCTACACGATGACCATCGGTATTGGCCACAACGTTTGCCACAATGTTGGCCACCGTGAATAGCCGTCTTTAGTCTGTAGGGGTCTCTATACCTTTCAGACCGCAACACAGCAGTGCAGATACTTGCTATCTGGCGGCAGAAATAGATCTTACCATCTAGAAATAATTGAAAACAAAAAGCACAAGTGGTTTGACCATTTGTCAACAAGCGGTCTCACCGACGGCTCGCGCGGTGGAGCTGGCGTCGCCGGTGAGCATCTTGACGGTGACGCCGGCGCGGCGCAGCGTGGCCACGGCGCGGCTCGCACACGTGTACTATACAAACGTTTGCAACAAGCGGTCTCACCGACGGCTCGCGCGGTGGAGCTGGCGTCGCCGGTGAGCATCTTGACGGTGACGCCGGCGCGGCGCAGCGTGGCCACGGCGCGGCTCGCACACGTGTACTATACAAACGTTTGCAACAAGCGGTCTCACCGACGGCTCGCGCGGTGGAGCTGGCGTCGCCGGTGAGCATCTTGACGGTGACGCCGGCGCGGCGCAGCGTGGCCACGGCGCGGCTCGCACACGTGTACTATACAAACGTTTGCAACAAGCGGTCTCACCGACGGCTCGCGCGGTGGAGCTGGCGTCGCCGGTGAGCATCTTGACGGTGACGCCGGCGCGGCGCAGCGTGGCCACGGCGCGGCTCGCACACGTGTACTATACAAACGTTTGCAACAAGCGGTCTCACCGACGGCTCGCGCGGTGGAGCTGGCGTCGCCGGTGAGCATCTTGACGGTGACGCCGGCGCGGCGCAGCGTGGCCACGGCGCGGCTCGCACACGTGTACTATACAAACGTTTGCAACAAGCGGTCTCACCGACGGCTCGCGCGGTGGAGCTGGCGTCGCCGGTGAGCATCTTGACGGTGACGCCGGCGCGGCGCAGCGTGGCCACGGCGCGGCTCGCACACGTGTACTATACAAACGTTTGCAACAAGCGGTCTCACCGACGGCTCGCGCGGTGGAGCTGGCGTCGCCGGTGAGCATCTTGACGGTGACGCCGGCGCGGCGCAGCGTGGCCACGGCGCGGCTCGCACACGTGTACTATACAAACGTTTGCAACAAGCGGTCTCACCGACGGCTCGCGCGGTGGAGCTGGCGTCGCCGGTGAGCATCTTGACGGTGACGCCGGCGCGGCGCAGCGTGGCCACGGCGCGGCTCGCACACGTGTACTATACAAACGTTTGCAACAAGCGGTCTCACCGACGGCTCGCGCGGTGGAGCTGGCGTCGCCGGTGAGCATCTTGACGGTGACGCCGGCGCGGCGCAGCGTGGCCACGGCGCGGCTCGCACACGTGTACTATACAAACGTTTGCAACAAGCGGTCTCACCGACGGCTCGCGCGGTGGAGCTGGCGTCGCCGGTGAGCATCTTGACGGTGACGCCGGCGCGGCGCAGCGTGGCCACGGCGCGGCTCGCACACGTGTACTATACAAACGTTTGCAACAAGCGGTCTCACCGACGGCTCGCGCGGTGGAGCTGGCGTCGCCGGTGAGCATCTTGACGGTGACGCCGGCGCGGCGCAGCGTGGCCACGGCGCGGCTCGCACACGTGTACTATACAAACGTTTGCAACAAGCGGTCTCACCGACGGCTCGCGCGGTGGAGCTGGCGTCGCCGGTGAGCATCTTGACGGTGACGCCGGCGCGGCGCAGCGTGGCCACGGCGCGGCTCGCACACGTGTACTATACAAACGTTTGCAACAAGCGGTCTCACCGACGGCTCGCGCGGTGGAGCTGGCGTCGCCGGTGAGCATCTTGACGGTGACGCCGGCGCGGCGCAGCGTGGCCACGGCGCGGCTCGCACACGTGTACTATACAAACGTTTGCAACAAGCGGTCTCACCGACGGCTCGCGCGGTGGAGCTGGCGTCGCCGGTGAGCATCTTGACGGTGACGCCGGCGCGGCGCAGCGTGGCCACGGCGCGGCTCGCACACGTGTACTATACAAACGTTTGCAACAAGCGGTCTCACCGACGGCTCGCGCGGTGGAGCTGGCGTCGCCGGTGAGCATCTTGACGGTGACGCCGGCGCGGCGCAGCGTGGCCACGGCGCGGCTCGCACACGTGTACTATACAAACGTTTGCAACAAGCGGTCTCACCGACGGCTCGCGCGGTGGAGCTGGCGTCGCCGGTGAGCATCTTGACGGTGACGCCGGCGCGGCGCAGCGTGGCCACGGCGCGGCTCGCACACGTGTACTATACAAACGTTTGCAACAAGCGGTCTCACCGACGGCTCGCGCGGTGGAGCTGGCGTCGCCGGTGAGCATCTTGACGGTGACGCCGGCGCGGCGCAGCGTGGCCACGGCGCGGCTCGCACACGTGTACTATACAAACGTTTGCAACAAGCGGTCTCACCGACGGCTCGCGCGGTGGAGCTGGCGTCGCCGGTGAGCATCTTGACGGTGACGCCGGCGCGGCGCAGCGTGGCCACGGCGCGGCTCGCACACGTGTACTATACAAACGTTTGCAACAAGCGGTCTCACCGACGGCTCGCGCGGTGGAGCTGGCGTCGCCGGTGAGCATCTTGACGGTGACGCCGGCGCGGCGCAGCGTGGCCACGGCGCGGCTCGCACACGTGTACTATACAAACGTTTGCAACAAGCGGTCTCACCGACGGCTCGCGCGGTGGAGCTGGCGTCGCCGGTGAGCATCTTGACGGTGACGCCGGCGCGGCGCAGCGTGGCCACGGCGCGGCTCGCACACGTGTACTATACAAACGTTTGCAACAAGCGGTCTCACCGACGGCTCGCGCGGTGGAGCTGGCGTCGCCGGTGAGCATCTTGACGGTGACGCCGGCGCGGCGCAGCGTGGCCACGGCGCGGCTCGCACACGTGTACTATACAAACGTTTGCAACAAGCGGTCTCACCGACGGCTCGCGCGGTGGAGCTGGCGTCGCCGGTGAGCATCTTGACGGTGACGCCGGCGCGGCGCAGCGTGGCCACGGCGCGGCTCGCACACGTGTACTATACAAACGTTTGCAACAAGCGGTCTCACCGACGGCTCGCGCGGTGGAGCTGGCGTCGCCGGTGAGCATCTTGACGGTGACGCCGGCGCGGCGCAGCGTGGCCACGGCGCGGCTCGCACACGTGTACTATACAAACGTTTGCAACAAGCGGTCTCACCGACGGCTCGCGCGGTGGAGCTGGCGTCGCCGGTGAGCATCTTGACGGTGACGCCGGCGCGGCGCAGCGTGGCCACGGCGCGGCTCGCACACGTGTACTATACAAACGTTTGCAACAAGCGGTCTCACCGACGGCTCGCGCGGTGGAGCTGGCGTCGCCGGTGAGCATCTTGACGGTGACGCCGGCGCGGCGCAGCGTGGCCACGGCGGCGCGCACGTTGGCGCGCGGCGGGTCGCACACGCCGCACAGGCCCGTGTACGTCAGCGACTGCAGCGACGCGCCGCGGCACAGCGCGATTACACGCAGCCCTGCCGGACGTGCGTTACACCAAAACTTGGAAAAACTATGACTTAAGAGAAACAACAACAACAATGAGCCGTGGTAGCTCAGGAGGTTTGCGCTCGCTGTAAGTACGCGAGCAACCCGGGTTCGATCCCCGCCGGCACCAATGCAATTGTTAATTGCAATTTTAAGTGATGATTTACCACGTACTCACCGGAATTAAAATTTAAGTGCTTTAATTTTTTAATGAAGATTATCAACATCGATCAAAAGTCTAAAATGTGCAAATTCGCTCAGTCTGGCAACACAGTTATTCCTTCTCTTTCTTTTCAGAGACGATCTGTAAAGGTTCTTTAAAAACAAGAAAAAGAAGAACAACAAAAAGTTTCTCTAAAACATTTATTTATTGAAATTTCTACGATGAATGAACGAATTGGGTTTCTAGTAGTAATAATACGACGTAACCGCTTGTATGTGTGCTCCCGGCGACACCGGTTCTCGTACAAAATAAGGTTGACAGATATTCTATTGTGTATAGTATTCTTTTTTGTAACCACATTTTTCGTCTTTTGGGATTCGTTTAGAACAGAAACAAACAGTTTCTGTGGACTACTTATAGTCGTATTGGTACATAGTGACACTACACATCATTTATACACGATTTTTATTGAATAAATTTGAAGAAAAATTACAAAATTCACTTCAGCTGCAGTTTTATTACGTACATTGACTTGTTTAACTATGTGTGACGTCACACGTGTCATATGACTAGCGCCTTTACATAATCATTTTGGCGCGGTTTTGTAACTTTTAACTTTAATTTTTATTGTTAATACAGTAGATCTTCCAGAACTATTAATGTAGTGTGCTTATTATGTAATAAAGAATCATTTAAAATGATTTTCCGTGGAGCACAGCTACTTAAAAATAATTAAGTTTGGCAGTTTTTACTTACAATGCCACCTAGAATGTATGAACTAATAGAAGCGTCGACTGCTGGTTTTTCTCAGTTCTCATCGGGCGGCTAGCGTTTATGTGTCATTCACGCACCGTGTCGGGTGTTGAATTATGTAGTTATAATTTGAAACAAAGTCGGGCTGCAATACGATATTTTTAGATTGCAATGAAAAAATTAGATTTAATCTATAATATGAAAGATAGAGTTTATTAATATAATCTTAATTAAAGTAACATTTGGTCCGTCTGTTAGTCATCGTGTAACTTCTGAACGACTTGACTGATTGATATGGTATTCACACAAGATATTTGTTTTGCTGAGAAGATGGATTATAGCTATGCTAGGATGTAATTGATGGCACTGTAGACAAGTTATTAATAAAGTTTAATCATTAATATAAAAAAGAACACAAGATAATTTATAGCATTAAATAAATCCTCACCCATTCTCCCAATGTTATAGGCCTCGGAGAGAAAGTCGTTCTGTTTGTCGCGGGTCATTGGTGCGTAGTTGCCGGCGCTGTCTATGTAGTGGGTGCACAGCGGCAGAACATTCTCGATCGCGCCCTTTACGAAGACCTCCTCTTTCAGTTTACCATCCCCGAACTTTGGCGCACACTTCACAACCATCATTTTCGTTTCCGAACTGTAACACAGGATTATCATCATCATTACAGTCCATCGCAAGTTCACTGCTGAATATTGGCCTCCCAGATACAATGGCACAAAGCACGGTCCAGTGCCACTAGCATATCTCCCTGTATAATTGTAATTATATATATATATTTAATCTTTATTGAACATTACATAACAGTACAAGATCAAAAGGCGGACTTAATGTTAAAAGCATTCTCTGCCAGTCAACCTTAAGGCAGTGATAAAATTACGAAGGTGGCTACAGAGAACATAAAAAATATTATAAAAATATAATTCCCTAAAGAATGAAATAACGGTTATATATATAATAAGATACATAATATACTCCCTGCATTTTTGATAAATTTTCTCTCATTTTGGACTCCACCAAAATATGACAGATTTGGCAGTGTGGTAGAGAATAAGGGAATCCATCATCCCATATCGTCCCGTGGATGTCGTAAGAGGCGACTGAGGGAAATGTCAAAAAAATTATATCTGAAAGGTGGCCGTTTCCCATCTTGTTTACGCCGGACGAGGACGTAAAATACACAATGGGCGATACTTCTGGTACTGAAATCGTAAAATCGTAAATTACCAATTTTTCGACTTCACAGAGTCAGTAATTCATTCATGGGACAATACCGAAGACATTTAACTAGTAGTAATAGACCGGACATCAGCAACAAATTTGTCACCTCTTACTTATTATAGGATATATTTCGGATTTGTGTCATTTAGTCTTAGTGACATCGTCAAAAGCTCAAGACGTATTCGTTTTCTAAGTTTAAAAAAAAATTATAGAAAATACGCCCGATTGTGCATTAAGGTATTGTAAGTCCCGATATGGAGCAAAAGCTGAATGTGATTTCGGTTTATTATCGCAAGAATAATGTACATTTACCCAATAATTTTTCAATTTTATTATTTCTGGTAGATAGTTCTAGAACATTTATCATTATTGTAATAAGCGCCCTCTGTTATCCAGTAACGTCATGATTTATTTTCAAAAGAGTTAGTGATTGACAACGTTTATCGATTATTGTTATCGATAAAAAATATTATACCGGATGCCGATTTAATCATCTACAATATTTAAGGAGGTGAAACAGTAAACGATACTGTACCGGTACCAATAAAGAAATCGACTGGGTCTGTGTCAGGGCACACGGTCGTTTGGTTTTAACATGAAACATCTATGTCATCCAGTACAACCAGTCAACAAGATAGCCTTTTTTCAAAAAAATTTATATAATTCTACAACACCAGGAGAATTGCAGATGCGTTGCCGGCCTTTTAAAAAGGAGTAAGTTCGTTTCTTGAAGGTCCCTAAGTCGTATCGGTCCATAAAAATTGCCGTTGGTAAACGATTCCAAAGAAAACTCCTAATAAATCGCACGGCAGTGGACCGCCAAGCATCCAAATGATGTGGATGGTAACGTAAGCTTTGTCGCGATGTGTGTTGGTGAAGTTTGGTGGCTGGAATTATTCCGAACAATTCTTTAGAGCACTCCCCGTGTTAAATACGATAGAACATCGAGCCAATCAAAGAGAACTCGGTCATCGACGATTGGAGCCGCTCTGCTCTGCAGTCAAGTGGAAGGAGCGTGCACTGGGGAGCCCCGGCCCAGAGGTGAGAAAAGTATTCCATTTGAGGCCGAACCTGCGCTTGTTAAGTTGCAAACGGTCGCTTTTTTGTTCACAGTATTGTCCCGCTCTACTGAGTACGCCAAGCTTTTTAGAAGGCAATTTAGCTTTCTTTTTCAAGTGACCATGCTACTGCAGGTCATTTGATATGTCGGTACGTCGAAGATTCCGCTATTGGCTACGGCAACAAAGGAAGTGCTCTGAAATTGAGGAGATACGACAAAGGTGTTTTTTTTTAACGGTAAACGCGCAAACTTGTGAATTTGTATAATAATTTATTTTGTAACGACCTTTAAGATCAATGCTTTCCTAAAATATGTTAGATTTAAAGTGTATTTTTGTAAAAGAAACAAATTTGAAAATCATGGAGGTTTTGAATAATAAATACTACTTTTATGGATTTTATCGCTTTAATTTTTTATTTTTTATTATAATTAAATTATTATGATACAATTCCAGACGTTTCGGGTGCTTTACAACACCCATGGTCACGGGGGACTGAGGTGATTGACGTCCCGATGTCATGTTTTCCTAATAAATATTCTACGTAGTTTTTCTGTTTAGTTCTTAGCTAGAGGGCGTCACACACGCGCGAGCTTAAAGTTTTTGTATGAAAACGTTCTCTATGTCCGCTCTATAGTATACCTATATATTTAAATCTCTTTGGACAATGCATACGCTATTACAACAAAGTCCTAAAAAATAGTAATAAAATATACAGTCTCTATTTTTTTTTTAATGTATTTACTTATCACTTATAAATCTATTTTTTTAACAAAACCTAAAAAATAAAAAGGCTAACTATAATATAAATGAATATATGGTTGATAATAACCACTGGGAACACATTTAGAACAGTTGTTATTATACACTATACTTTGGAAAAAAAAAGTCCAGGTGGATTTCTTGTTGGTTGTTTCTACGACAGAGTTTTATTCATTTCTTTTATAAGAATTACTTAAATTCTATATTGAATAAAAAATATTCTCTTGTATTTTATTTCTCAATCCGGCTGCCAAGCGTGACCTCTCTACAACAGTGGACTTTTTCTAACAGATGAAGATAAGGAAGTATGGAAGTATGTATCTAACATTAGTTAGGATTTCGGCACTATGGATCTTAGGAAATCATCTCAATACAATTTTTTAGAATCCTTAAAAACCTGAAATCTCACCTGAAAGGTATCTCGTGGAGACGCGTGTATTCTTCCCGTATGTCGTGCATGCCATTCTTGAAGGCACATGCTAGCAGCGCGCCCTCTGTGGGCTGCCCGTAGAGTACTTCGTCGCGGATCGACGCGTTGTTGCAAAGGACGCCGACCTGTGCACAAACGAAAATAGACCTTAGTGCTAGAGCACAGAGTATACGTTTAACAGCTACCAATACCTTTACTTAATACACAATACCTGAGTACCAATAATATATAAATTCGAAAGTATAAATCTCATTTTTACACCATACAAATGATGACAGCCCTAGTCGTACCTCAGCATCGAAGTCGTTCAAGTCCATCATTACAGCCTTTCATAAGTCCACTGCTGAACATAGGCCTCCCCCAAGGAATGACACAAAGCACGGTCCTGAGCCACCTGCATCCATCGACTTCCTGCATGTCTTACCAGGTCGTCACTCCATCTCGTGGGGGATCGCCCTACACTTAACCTACCGGTACGAGGCTGCCACTCAAGAATCTTTCTTCCCCATCGGTTGTCGATTCTTCGAGCTATATGGCCGGCCCACTGCCACTTCAGCTTACTAATCCGTTGGGCTATGTCGGTCACTCTGGTTCTACTGCGGATACCCTCATTTCTAAGTTTATCACGCAGAGAAACCCCGAGCATAGCCCTCTCCACAGCTCGCTGAGCGACCTTGAGCTTCCTCATCCGGCCAGCAGTGAAAGACCACGTCTCAGATCCGTAACTCATCACTGGCAACACGCACTGGTTGTACAATTTCGTTTTAAGGTTTTGAGGTATGTCTGACGAGAAGATGTGTCGTAGTTTCCCGAACGCTGCCCAGCCGAGTTGAATCCGTCGATTGACCTCTCGGTCGAAGTTGGACTTGCCTAGTCGGACTTTTTTATAGGAGAGGGGGCAAACGAGCATGCAGCTCACCTGATGGTAAGTGACTACCGCCGCCCATGAACAGCTACAACACCAGATAGGGAATCGCAGATGCGTTGCCGGCCTTTTAAAAATGAGTACGCTCTTGTCTTGAAGGTCCCTAAGTCGTATCGGTCCGGAAAAATCGCTGATGATAATCGATTCCACAAGGAAGTTGTGCGAGGAAGAAAACATCTTTTAAATTGCACAGTGGTGGACCGCCAATCATCCAGATGGTGTGGACGGTATCGGGAGTTCTGCCGCGATGTGCGTTCGTGAAATTTGGCGGCTGGGATTAATCCGAACAATTCCTCAGAGCACTCCCCGTGGTAGATGCGAAAGAAAATGCAAAGGGATGCAACATCTCTTCGCAGTGCCAATGAATCGAGCCGATCGGAAAGGACTCGGTCGTCGACGATTCGAGCCGCTCTGCGCTGGATGCGGTCAAGTGGAAGGAGCTGGCACTGGGGAGCCCCTGCCCAGAGATGGGAACAGTATTCCATGTGAGGCCGAACCTGCGCCTTGTAAAGTTGCAGACAGTGTGCCGGCATGAAATACTGTCCCGCTCTGCTGAGCACGCCAAGCTTTTTAGAGGCCAATTTGGCCTTCTTTTCCAAGTGACCACGAAACTGCACGTCACTCGATATGTCGACTCCGAGGATTCCGATACTGGCTGAGGCAAGAAGGGGTGTGCCTAGAAACTGAGGAGATACGACAAAGGGGTTCTTTTTAGCGGTAAACGCGCAAACGTATGTCTTCTGAGGATTAAACTGGACTAGATTTAGTCGCCCCCAATCCGAGACTTTGTTCAGCAAAGACTCGACTTCAGACCCAAGTTTGTTCCGGTACTCGGCGACGTTTTCCCGACAAATATTGGCACGGCCGGTATATAGAGCATCACCAGTGCTGTCATCCGCATAGCAATGAATGTTACCAGTTAGCAACCTATCATTGATATGCAGAAGAAACAGCGTTGGTGATAGTACACAGCCTTGTGAAACACCAGCGTTAATAGGCTTGTAGTCAGAACATGCACCGTCTACAAACGACCTTGATACTCCGATCTGCAAGGAAGCTGGTGATCCAATTGCACAATTTCTCGGGAAGCCCATAGGAAGGGAGCTTCGAAAGAAGCGCTTTGTGCCAAACCCGATCGAAGGCTTTTGCAATGTCTAAACTAACGGCCAACGCCTCCCCCTTGGACTCTACTGCCTCCGCTCATCTATGAGTCTGGTAGACTAGAAGATCACCAGCTGATCGACCCCGACGAAAACCGTATTGGCGGTCACTAATCAGCTGGTGATCCTCAAGGTACCGCATGAGCTGGCAGTTAATAATTGATTCCATTATTTTGGAGAACAAGCAGGTGATCGCGATAGGCCTATAGTTGGACGGGTCTGAGTGGTCGCCTTTTTTAGGGATCGGGTGGACAAAAGTTGTCTTCCATGAATTCGGGACTACGCCTTGGGAGTAGGCGTACCGGAAAAGACGCGTTAGGACCGGTGCCAACTCCGGAGCACACGTCCTCAGCACAATTGGAGGGATTCCGTCAGGTCCACTCGACTTCTGGATGTCCAGGGAGAGGAGTGCTTTGCGAACCGAGCGCTGTGAGAACAGCACATCCGGCATGGAGCACTCACACCGCGGGATGGTCGGCGGTGTTTTCCCCCCGTCATCAAGAGTCGAGTTGGACGCAAAAAGGGAGCCTAAAAGGTCGGCTTTGTCTTTTGCGTATTGGGCCAGTGAGTCGTCCTCCCTGTGCAGAGATGGTAGTGATGGCTTAAGAAATCCCCTTGGACAGCCTTGGCGAGAGACCAGAATGCACGAGTTCCCGAAGGAAGGCGAACTAGTTTCTCGCCAATTCTGCCTATGTGCTCTGACTTTGTCTTGGCAATAACTCTTTGAAGGACCTGGAGGCGAAATTATACTTCTTTTTAAGTGTGCTGGTGTTTACATCCCGAGTCGCCGCAGCCGCAGCCCAGGCTTGATAACAGTCCTGCTTACTGCGTAATGCAGTCTTACAGGAGCGACCAAACCAAGGCTGAGATCTGCCTAGCCATAGGATGGACAGGTCCGAACCTTCAAGACTGCCGAGGCGTCGAGAACAGATGTCCTCTCTGACATACACGCAAACTCCAGCCCGAGGCGCAAAGGACTATTTGTCCCAGGTAAACATACTCGTCAACAACTTCGAGCTTAGTGTTTTCGTTTAGTATTTAGTCTTAATTAGGATAAGTGAAGATCACGATGATTAAGTTTATTATATTATGTATTTATTATTATAAATATGCCCTCGAGTGACCTCAGCCAGACTCGGCCAGCCCACTAGATGAAGTGAAGTGAAGGGTTGGCAGTGACTCGATAAATACAGGAAGCTAAGAAGCGTGCTTTTTGGTAGTCTGTGAGGAAATTTAATGCTGTGCTAGTGGAGGAGCAGTGGTTTTGTGGTAAAGTAATGATGAGAAAACTCTTTCGTGGCATGTCAATGATTGCATATTGGTACACGGGTAAGTAATATACTACAGTAACATAGTATTGTTTTTGATTGAACTACTGCTCTGAAGACACAGTTCACAACATATATTATTATTTTTTATTATCAAGGACAACAAACAGGTTCACAAATGAAACATTTTACAGTATTTTTTTTTTTCAAATAATACAGACACGCGATTGCTATTATTGAATATAATCAAGTCACAGTTTAAAGACGGTACGTGTGTGCGTTCATGCGTTTATTGTATAGAAGAAATGATGATAAAGACGAAGTCAGATAAATTGCTTAAACTTATCTGACTTTGTCTTTATCATCCTGAATTTCCGCACGACAGTTCTCAAAACCGGCATATGTGTGAACGAACAACAAGAACCGGAAACCCTTTTTACCCTTTATACTGGCAACGAATCATTACATCTTGGTCCTCACGGGTGACAACGCATCTGCATTTTGAGTCTTTATTGAGGATAGATGTAGATGTCTATGGGTCACAGTAACCACTTACCATCAGGTGGACTGTGTGCTCGTTTGTCACCCTATCCTATAAAAAAAATTCACTAGTGACATTGTGCCTGGCATTTCGATTTTTAACCGAAGATAGATGTTGGAACCTATCGCGGTCTGCGCATTTACATATCGAGTGGACTGTGTGCGCGTTTGTCACCATAATTTTTATAAAACTGTTACTTTTGAAAAGGTGTTTAACAATTTAATTAAAAAAATTAATAAATAGTTCTAGATTCATACAAATTCCAGTGTTGAATGAATTCATATTTAATAATAAAAATAATACTAATAAAATCAATGTTAGATTATACATTAAAATTTATTAAAGTTTCGAATCTCGCGTGGAGCGATCACGGTATAGAAGTTTGTCTTTGTGCAATTTATGTATGTAAAACGTCTTTACGTCGATACAAAAGACAATCTCTTTTTTAAATCATAGTAAACCTTTCCTTTTCTGACTAAAAGTCTTTCTGAGTAGTTCCTAACCTCTTACATGTTTGTACTTATGATGTGATTGTTTATCAGATAGGAGGATTGAAGAGTACCTCGAGCATGGAGTGCAGCGCGGAGCGCGCGACGGTGAGGTCGCGGCCCTTGTAGGCGCGCAGCTGCACGTCGCCGCGCGCGCTGTAGCCCGCGCCCGACACCTCCGCGATGTGCCCGCCCGACGCGCACAGCTGCGTCACCGTCATCTCGTTCTTCGTCAGCGTACCTGGCCGACGGGGAACACGGCTATTGTATCACTTGGATCTATTTATGTTATAACTGTTTCATCTCACAAAAAATCTCGCAAGTTTTTTTTTTACATAAAATATAGCCTAGATCGCTCCTGGCATTGCTCCTATCTCTTTGTGCTTTAGCCATTTATAATCCCGAACAAACAGACAGACAAAAAATTAAAACATGGTTATTCAAGTCATGATGCACATAAATCAATAGCTCAATAAAAGAAACTTCTTTTGATATTACAAACAGATACTTCAATTTTATTTATATACTAGCTGTTCCCCACGACTTCGCTCGCGTGTTAGAGTTTTTATGTTTTTGCGCGGAACCCTAATTCTTTTTCTAAAATAAAAGTAGCCTAAGTTACTCCTTATGAAATCGGCTATCTGCCAGTGAAAGCCCCGTCAAAATCAGTCCAGCCGTTTCGGAGATTACCCGGAACAAACAGACAGACAAAAATTTTAAAAACTGTATTTTAGTTATAAATACCATATTTACTTTGATATACATTTAGTAAAAAACAGTAATTTTGACATTACAAATAGAAACTTCAATTTTATTTATTTGTATAGATAGACATATAGAAAATTTACTAGATTATACATGTACGGGTCATTACTATAGCTATTGCTAAGTTGCACTCATCTTTACAGCAATGACTGTACACTGTAATTTGTAACAGGCAGGTTTTTTCAACAGTTGAAGACTTGTTTCTGATAATTCCTAAGATTCGATTTCGGGAGTTCGAAATTCGAAAGAGTTCTAATAAAATGCGATTGATTTAAAACTCGATCCTGACATTCCTTGGAGGAATTCAAAAACTGACTTGTGAAAAGTTGTAGTGATGATATTGATGTTTTTAATTTTGTATAAACTAAAAAAGTTAATGATTTAAAATATTTTTTTGTTTTTGTTTAGTACTGGTGAAAACTGAATTTGAATTGAAAACATGACTTCAAAATCAATTAAAAAATCAGGAGTAATAGCTAGATAACCTGATTCTAAACATTAAGAAACACATTCGTTATGACATTGACACAATGATTTAGATATTTAAAATTTAAATATTTGAATTTAAATTTTAAGTCACTTACCAGTCTTGTCGCTACAAATCACATTGACGCACCCCAGGGTCTCCACAGTGGGCAACTTCTTTACGATCGCGTTACGTTTCGCCATACGCATAACGCCAAGCGCCAAAGTCACAGTCACTACAATCGGCAGGCCTGGAAAAGAACACAAAAAACATTTTTTTATTTAGTCATTTCAACACTTATCATTCCCGTACACTCCTTCCGCAAATTCGTCGTGCGAAAACACTAAATAAATTTGAGACTGACGTCAAAAATCACTACCTATCACTGCAATAATCACCTTTAGCGACATTTAGATTGTGGTTTCGTTTTAAAACAATATAAATTAAATAGAAGAATGATCCAGATGCCAGATGCAAACAACGTCAGGTACTGCGAACGCCAAGCCGCCTGCCAAGCTTGGCGATTATAGCAAATCCTGACTACTATAAGTAGAGGAAGATGAAGATTGTCACAATCGAGTTCTTCATTTAAAACATCAAATGGACGTGTTGTGCAGGAAAGGCCCAAGTCACAAACTTGCCAAAATAATGATTCAGAGGTCCTTTTTTCAGTTTATTTCTAAGTACGTAAGACTTGTAAAATGACAAGTAATACCAACATCTATATCCAAGATGTAATAGGACTTTCAATTCTGAACATCCCTATGTTTTTGTGGGTCGAAACATTTCTGCACAACACGGTTCAATTCACTTATTGCTGAACCTATATCTAATTTGACTAACTAATAGAAACATACCTTCAGGGATAGCAGCCACGGCTAAACTCACGCCGATGGTGAACATGTCTTGTATGGCTTTGCCCTGTAGCCAGCCGGTGATCATAATGAAGCCAATGATACAGAAGGAATACAAGGACAGCTGCGCCCCAAGGGTGTCCATGGACTTCTGCAGCGGAGTTTTCGGTGCCTCTTCCGCTTGCATCATGCGGAATATATCTCCAAATTCTGAACGCTCTCCAGTGCTTACCACTATGCCCTGGAAAAGACATTCTTAGCTTAGCAAAAAGACAATCATGTAAAATGATATATGATTGTCTATTTGCTTGCTTGCATCGTTTAATCAATTTTACAACAATCCCACCTGATAGTTGAAGCCTTAGATGACAGATAGCACTATCTTAGCGCAACAAAAACCTATTCATTTTTTCCTTGAAGACATTGTAATCGGAAGGAAAGACAGACGTTGGCAAATTCATCCACTCCTTTGCTGTTGCGAATGACGAAACAAACTGTTCCTTTTGATTGGCTTGTTGTTTATAGAAAATTCATATACTAAATTAACTATAAATTAAAAAATTTTATGTTGAGTTTTTGCTGTTTCCTAAGACCTAAATTTCAAAGAGAAACGGCGAGTGCAATATTTTCTTACGGTTGGACAAAATTGGCAGACAAAAGATGTACCGATAAACTTACCTTAGCATTCCCACAACGAACAAGAGTCCCCAAGAAGGCTATATTGTCCTTATTGACTCTGCCAGCGGCTGCTTTGTTCGGCAGGACACTTTTGACGGCCGGTTCGGTCTCTCCAGTGAAAGACGACTCATCGATGGCCAAGTCTGACGACTCGAAGAGTCGCAAGTCCGCTGGAACCCTGTCGCCGACGTTCAAGTGGACGATATCGCCCGGAACTAGGTTCCGAGCGAGGAAGTGTTCTAGGCTCCCTTCTCTGAGACTGCAATAAAATAAATAAAAACCATTACAGTACATTATTAACCGTTTCTGCACAGTATAGCTAAAGACAAAGAGTTTTATAGTTTAACTGACTGAACTCGCCACGGTATGGAAAGTCATCAAGTCATATGATTGCTGTTGCTGGACTTCAACAATGCCTTCAATACTGTTGATCATAACATATTGTTAGGTATTGTATAGTTATTTGTATGGGCGCTGGCAACGTATTCGAGTCCAAGATAGACTTTCTTCGTGGCTTGATACCGTAGCTGGCGTTCCACAAGGTGGCATCTTATCTCCTCTTTTATTCGCAATCGTTATTAATATGATTACATCCCAAATATCTTCTCTCCGCCAATTGTATGCAGACGATCTCGAAATATACTTACAAACAACCATTGAAGATCTTCCCAAAGCAGTGGAATGTATCAATAAGGATCTGGCATGTATTCTCGACTGGAGTCGTTCTTATGGTGTTCCTATCCCTTATAATGACGTTGTCAAAAATTTTGCTATCCTTTTGGATTCCAGTATTTCTTGGACTCCCCAAACTAATACAGTGATCCGTAATATGTTTGAAGCATATGTTTCACTCCGGAGACTTAACTACTTTTTACCCATTTCCACCAAAATTACGCTTGTACAATCTTTACTACTCCCTACCCTCGACTATGCCGACATTTGCTATCTTGATATCACCGAGGAGCACCTTAACAAACTTGAGCGGCTACAAAATCTCTGTATACGATTCATATTTGGGCTTCGTATGACCATGTCTCAGAATACCGCACTGAGCTCAAGTGGCTTCCAACCCGTCTTGGTTGGAATACTCATATGCTTTCTGCTCTCTACTGCGTCTTATTTAATATATGAAGTCCTTCCTATCTGAAAGAACGTTTTAAATTGCTCAGCTCCTGTCATAATTTTTGCTTACGATCCAAAGAAAATATTTCCCTCCAAATGTCCTATGCACTCCTCGACTTATTATGACAAATCATTTTCTGTTCTTGGAGTAAGACTTTGGAACTCCTTACCCCAGTCAATTAAAAATGCTCAATCCTTAAATGTGTTCCTCTAACCACTATTCGACTCTCTAACCCCTCTCCCTTCCTCCGCTTAATTAATTATGCCCATTGATCTACCGGAAGGATGTTGTCTTTTTAATGCATAAGTTTGTATCTTTATTATTTTTTTAGTCCCTACCCATTGTCTTTTTTGTTATTTTTAATTTATTTCTTCTTCTGGGTTGTCTGGAAGAGATTGCTATGTAGCAATAAGACCGTCCTTTGTATTTCCCTCAATAATTGTTTATTTATGTTTTTGTTATTCTATCTTTCCTTGGTGTATAATAATGAGTATTGTATTGATTTACCAAGTGATCGGCGGTGAAGAAAGACATTGTAAGGAAACCGACATGTCCCTATAAGGTGTATACACAATGCATATATATGTATTATTGGGTAATATCCCACACGACTCCCCTTAGTCTTCCTTTACAAACAACTGTATCGCAATCATCGCTTATATTTTAGTTAAACCAACATTTACCTAAACATAAACATAACCATATTAAAGTTTAATTTAACTTTGTCGCCGGCAAATTATTTTCGGATCGCATACACAACTGAATTTCAAACCAATTTCACGTTAACTTTTGTACATGAGAGCTTGTTAAAACTGCGAACTACATTTGTTATTCTTGTTTCTACAGTTTTATAATTAGTTACGTATACTGCTTTCGTTTCGCAATAAACTAAGCAAATTTGCTACGTATTAACTAGCGTGATAAACAAGCACATACTGAGATAGAGATTGTGTCCTTATAGCCCAAAGATCGTCTACATCAGTCTTTTTTATATAATAAAAAAGCGCAAAAGCGCGCGTTTTTTGCGCGGAACCCTAAATCCTTTTCTAAAATAAAAGTAGCCTAAGTTACTATCTATAATATAGCTAATATTATAAGGAGTAACTTAGGCTACTTTGTGGCGGTATAACTATGTGGCTCTGCCACATAGAGCCACATAGTTATACCGTCAAAATCGGTCCAGCCGTTTCGGATATTAACCGGTAACCGGTAACAGACAGACAAATATTTAAAAAATTATGTTTCTGTTATAAGTACTGTATATTTTCGTACGTATTTAGTAAAAAGCTGTTATTTTGACATTACAAACAGACATTTCAATTTTGTTTATTTGTATAGATTAGGGTGACGAAAAGTCCACCTAATAGTAAGTGACTAATGCAGCCCACAGACATCGTAACGAACTTTTTTTTATAGAATAAGGGTCACAATCGAGCACACAGTCCACATGATGGTAAGTGGATGCCTTTGATATGAATCTATAAATGAAAAAAATCAAAATGCAGAAGCGTTGTCACCCCTGAGGACTAAGATCTCCGGTTCTCTATACTCACTATACGTAACAGCAACATAAAGATGTGTAAAATAGCAGTTTAATGTTGTTGTGTTTCGTTTGAATAATATAACTGCAACGTTGCTCTGCCACGCGTCATCATGACATCAAACGGAAAAGGCCAAAGATATGTTGCCACCAAAAAAGACTGAAATGAAACTGTTCATAGATAGTAGAATATATGCTTCATAGTTGACTATGATTTGTCTTAATAGGTCCCATGTTTATGTGGGATTTATAACGAAAATAAATGTGCCAAGTGTGATACTTTCCCAGAATAATGGGATATTGTGTTTGCGCTTTTGTGGACGATGGGCTTCATATTTTTCGCCAAATGTAGTCCAAGTAACTCGTTGTTCTTTGGGCCTCTACCTTACCTCTCGGGGATTACGGGCATGACGCAATGTATATTTTAGAGACAAGCTCTCTTATATTTCATACCTAGTCTTAGCAATTGTTGCAATGTAAGCGGCACATACAGATAGAAATCGGCAGATATAATAAATAAAAGAGTAGTACGAACCCAAATGAACATGACAAAAAGGAACCCTACCATCAAGTCCATTCTTAATATAAAATAAAGACGCCACCCACCAAAAACATAAATATGACAAATTTGTCAAGTTCGGCACAAAAAACGTTCATGGTTGTCAGCTTCTCCAATAAAAGAGTAAGACTTCGCCGATAAATTTAGGTACGTGGATTTTATGTTTAACATGTTAGAGCCACGCCGCACGTGTATTATGGCTGCAGCACGAATAGGTCGGATCGATCGGGGAAGAACTGCACTTGTGTTTTGTATGGTGAGTCCAAGTATCGGAGACCCCTTTTAACTGCTAACGAGGTGTTCATCTTAGTATTAAGAAGAAATGCGGGCCGAGGCTTTTGAAAATTAAATATTTGAAGAAACTATCGCTGTCGCTCTGAGAGCGCTCGGCGTCCGATAAGGACAGCTGCAGATCCGACTGAATAGCCTTTTAAGGTGCTGGAGAGCCATTCTAATCTCGCACAGACTGACGTCCGGAACATCATCGGAATAGTGTCGGATAAGACTCGCTCTTGGATCGTTACTCATACTCGCGTGTGGATCCAACGATAATGTGTACAGCTGTCCATAGAACCTCTCAATCTCACTCAAAATCTCAGGTTTCCCGGAAACGACGCTGCCACACTCGGTCTTCAGCTTCGACAGTTGGCTCTTTCTGGCAGACAGATCTCTAGGAAAGACGATACGAACAGTATTAAAGTTGCGTAAGTTCTGCGGCATGGATTTCTGTCTGTTCAGTCTCTCTCAAATCTACTGAAGACTGCAACTTCATTTCCTGTCTAACATCCATGAGATTAAGCCTTCTTCTGCGGCGGGTCTTGCAAAACTTAGCTCTAAGCGCATGGACAGTTCCACGAGCTAGTCATTCACATCGTCCACTGCATAACAATCTTCTAGGCATTGAAAACGGTTTTGTAACTCGAGCTGAAAGGTTTCGGGACTTTGGATTAGAGCACGAGGGGGACGGAGCGTTGACTTCATTAGACGACACCTCTCCAACTTAATGTTTAGGTTCAGGGTGTCCTCATACATTTCCTCCACCTCCTCATCGGGGTGTGCCGAGATTGGTGCGTAAACCTGTATGACCTTCAGCGAATACCGTTTGGTAGTCTTGAGTATAAGGTAGGCAACCCTCGTCGACACACTCCCAATCTTTACAACGTTGTTAACGACTTATGGACGATAAATCCGACACCTCCTTGGGATAGATAGTCGCCCTCCCGGTAATAGAATAAGTTGCCGGATTCGAGGGTTACCGTCTCCTCCCCCTTTCTTCGGACCTCGGATAATCTTATAATATTCCAGCGCAACTTGTCTATCTCTTCATCCAGCTCCAGGATATTCGCGTCAGTCCTCAGGTTGCGTGCGTTATAAGTAAGATATAATAGAAAATTAATATCTAAAGGAAGGAAAATACTTAACCTTTTATTTTGAAGTTTCGTAATCGGTTAAAGAGTAGCCTATAAGTTTCCCCGGGTTACTAACTACCTACATACAAAATTTCATGGAAATCGGTCCAGTAGTTTTTGCGTGAATCCGGAATACACAGACAGACAAACAAAAAATTTGAAAATCACTAATTTGTCTTCAGCACCCTTTATTTATAAAAGCTGTTAGAAAAATTTACTTCGCAAATATCCGCGTTATTAAATAAAATGATGTGTCTTACCTAGTATGAAGAGCACCTCCCGCCCTCCCTCAATTGCGTGCACTATCCCCGTCACCACTAATGGTGTTGGGAGTAGCGGTGCTGGGATTAGGTAATACACATCATTTTATTTAATAACGCGGATATTAGCGAAGTAAATTTTTCTAACAGCTTTTATATAATGGATTTCCGCAAAGTAACGCCTGATTCTATTAATTATACCCTTTATTTAGTCCCCAGGACTTGTTTTTCAAGAATATATTAGAATTACAGACACGACTTTTCTAGAGATTTATTATATATGTATAGAGTGTAGATGTATAGATTATAAAATCAAAGTGTCAACCTTGAGTTCTAAGATAAAATGCTTCACCGGTAAGAAGGTTACTTCTGTTCTCTTACCATACGATACACAGCAGCATTAAGCTGGTATTCTGAGAAAGCGTGGTCCTTCTTCCTCGGTTGAGCCGACCCATTCGATAGAGATCGATTTTAATAATGTTCAACTTTATTTAATTGTATTTGTAAATTTGTTAAAAAAACATTACCTGCACACTAGGATTTTCTCCTGTATCGCGGGGGCGGTTTACAAACCCATATTTTACAAAGACAAACATCCAGACCCGGAACAATTATATGTAGACCATACAAATACTTGTTCCGTGCGAGATTCGAGAACCCGCGACCCTTATAGCGTTGCAACTCATTGCTAAGCCACTGCGCCATGGAGCCGTCATTTTAGTGTACTAATTAACTCCTTCACATATCGTGTACTACTCCTTCATACGTATATATCAAACCAGTAAATTCTAGCTCCATTTGTCGTGTTGTTTCTTTTTCAATTTTATAGTTCCGCTAGAAAGTTGACGTTTGATTTTTTTTTACTCTTGAAAATTACTTCGCGTTTACATCTATCGATAGTTTTATGTTTTACTAACACGCCGGCCACCGTGGAAACGACAAAGCCGTAATGAATTGATTTGAAACCGCACGTGACGAAATTTTTATTGCATGAAGTTATCGCTTACTAATTAGCCGATTTCAAAAACAAATGGTAAAATTACAAATTTTGTACAATCTACTTCAATATAAATAAAACGAGAACATCATCAATGTAGTCGAAGTCAATTAAATACGCATTATTAAGGATAACTCAAAAACTACCGGTTAGATCTCGATCAATTTGAGAAGTACCAACTTTCAAATAAAAAAGAATCATCAAAGTCGGCGGTTCACCTAGAAAAAAGTTTTGAGGTAACACACATAAAAATACAGTCGAATTGAGAACCTTTTCAACCGACTTAAAAAAATAAAGGAGGAGGTCCTCAATTTGTGTTCCCAATTCGACTATTTGCTCTTTGTTTTGTATGTATCCGTTACCGTTACAGCCTATTAAAGTCCACTGCTGAATAAAGGCTTCCCCCATAAATTGTCTCGTAGATTCCCCCTATTTGCCAAATTGCCACGCTTGTCAGGCGAGTTGGCAACCTCAGTTATTTAGATTTTAATTGTTATTAGGAAGACGCTGCTGCCCATCTCCTTGTTTCTTTCCCTCTGTCGCCTCTTACGACACCCACGGAACGATATGGGGTTGTGGATATTCTTATACTGTCATAAGCATGTTACGAGATATCTGCATCAATCTTGGATCGATTTTAATAATTCTTTTTTTATACTTTAGGGACGGTCAATATGGCAATTCATGTAATGCTGCTAGGAAGAAAAAAAAGTTTTTTATAGAATACAGTCAACCTAAAAGTGGATGACGTTCCCTATAGGCATCTACATAATATTATTATATCATCAAATAGGAATCAAAATGCAGATTCGTTATCTTAAACACTAAGATACTGTCTCATTACCAATAAAAAACCGGCCAAGCGCGAATCGGACTCGCACATGAAGGGTTCCGTACCATCGTAATACACGTTTCTAGTGCGGGAGCCCCTTTTAATTTTGAATTTATTTAAATGTTTATTATTTGTTGTTATAGCGGCCACAAAAATACACGTTTAGTGAAAATTTCAACTATCCACCTATTACGGATCGTGATATATAGCCCGGTGACAGACAGACAAACGCACGGACGGATGGACAGCAGAACATTAGTAATAGGTGGTCCCGTTGGTTACCCTTTGGGTACGGAAACCTATAAATAAGGTATCCAGTTCTCACGCAGTCATCGTAAGAAACACAGCAACATTATGGCGCTATTTTATTACGTATCCACATCTACATAAATCAGTTTTTACCTTAAAATCTATAGTGATTAATTGTAACTAAGATGGTGCTGGTGACTGGTGTTAAGGCATATCATGTAGTTTTGTGGTGAGAAAATAAATAACAACTTTCATTTCATTTTACACTGGTATTGTGTGAGAGCGTGGTCCGTCCGTAATACAGCTGCAGCGCGGCTCTACCACGTAGGGGTGGTACAAGTAGAAACCATGAGTCTGATTCCTAGACTGGAGAGGAGTCTTACCACCTACTATCACATGGTACCCTGACCCAACATAAGACATTGAAATAAGTTTTTTATGCAATACAGATTATAAAAGATTTTAATAGCCCCTGGGCATTTCTAATTTGCTTTGTGTTGTTAATTGTGTAACATATATACAATTGAAAGCGGTTTATATTTTTTTTTTCAAATAATGTCCCGCTGGGTTTCTTGCTGGTTCTTCTTAGGACAAAGGAGTTTTTCCAAACCAGTGGTAAATTAATCAAGAGAGTGACTTTCAATAAGTATTATTTAGAATCTATATTGAATAAAAAAGTTTCCGTTTCTATTTCAAATAATATTCGTTGAAAGCAATTCTTATGTTTAACCCATTCATTGTCCCATGAGCCACATATGGTATATTGATATTGTCTTACTATTGTGTCTCGAAACCGGACAGTGAGTGTTACTTTACCACTGGCTGGTTCGAAAATATATATATACAAAATATTTCTTACCAATTGCATGATGGTGGCACTAGCTTATTGAGCTCCTCCAATGACTTCTCCGAGCGGTACTCCTGAACGAAGGCGACAGTCACCACGATGATGATGGCGACGGTGATGGACGTCGCGTCGTCGAACTGCCGCATGCAGACGCTCACAAAAGCCGAAGCTGAAAAGTGGTCATCGTTAGTACTCTCACCCCGGGAAAGATCTAAATAATCTATGACTCCGTGTCGTCAAAGTCCATTTATTTTCTAGTTATGGTTCTTTACTTATACCTAGACTCGCCGGGTCGAAGAGTCAAAGTGACTAAGATTTCCAATCTACCTGCGAAGAGTGACGATTTCAATGTACAACGGAACAAAGAACTTAGTAATTTTTTCCCCCTTTTCTTTTCACACGTTACCCCCACACTAGAATTTTTTCCTGTATCGTGTAGAAAGTTTACATAGGTACATAAATTGGACAACATCCAGACCCAGAACAATTGTTTTTAGATCATACAAATACTTGTTCCGTGCGGGATTTGAAGCCCCTGAGGACTAAGATGGAATGCCTCCTTACCAGTAAAAATGGTCTCAGGTTCTCAACAACACAGTATCATTAAGCTGCTATTTTGCGTTGGTATTCTATGCAAGCATGGGCCTTCCCCGGTCGCACCGACCCGTAATGCAATATATAATATAGCTGCAGCGTGGCTCTCTACCATGTTCAAATCTGTCAGTAAACAGTTACAGTAGAGCATAGAACCAAGAACAATTTTGCCGTAATATCAAAGCTTGAATTATTATTAATGACCCCATTATGTATATGAATTGTTTCGAGATTGATATATAGAGATTAGGCAGACGCTATAATACTAGAATATTACGTACTTGACGTTTCAACGCAAATGGAACGAATTAATTGTTGAATTCTCATCACTCAATTGAACTCGGTAAATTACTACACAACATATCATTTGATACAATGTAAATTTTACTAGACGTGATACTATGACGTCATTAAATTACTATAGAACTTTAGTTTCAACAGCTCGTTTAAAGTATTAGTCTGAGAGCTGGCGACGAATTTTGGGAAGGTCCTTTTGGCAAGTTGAATTTGTGAAAAAATATTTATACGTGGTAGAGCCATACTGCAGCTGTATCAGTAGTATAGTTGTAGCACGAATGGGTCGGCTCGACCGGGGAAGGACCACGCTCTCAGAATACCAGCGTAAAATAGCAGCTTAACGCTGCTGTGTTTTGTATGGTGCGTGTAGAGAACCGGAGACACTTTTAACTGGAAATGAGGCATTCTGTCTTAGTCCTCACGGGTGACGCATCTGCATTTTAGTTTGTAATATAGGATAGATGTAGATGTCTATGAGCTGCAGCAACCACTTACCATCAGGTGGACTGCGTGCTCGTTTGTTACCCTTATCCTATAAAAAAATTCGTCAATTGGCGAATCCAGTCCCGTGAATCTGACAGAGCGTTTGCGGTTATTTTGTTACTGCACAGCATAAAACATTTGCATAAAAAAATCCAAAAAAATGTTTTTTTTTGGCAACTTGATTTCTTTTTTATCTTTTAATTTAGTTTTTATATAATTCAAAAAAAAAATAATCCCAGACGTTTTTGTCGGTTATGAAGTATTACCAGACCTCTCCAAAAATATTTTATTAAAATTACCAAAAAATATACAAATGCATTAAGCTGCTATTTTACGTTGGTATTCTTTAAGAGCTTGGTCCTATCCCTAGTAACGTAATAAGTAACGTAAATAGTAACGAAATAACCGCAAACGTTCTGCCAGACTCGCGTGACTAGATTCGCCAATTGACGAAATTATGTTTTTTCACAATTTCAACTTGACAAAAGAACCTTCCCAAAATTCGTCGCCAGCTCTCAGACTATATTTCATTTGACATAAGTGTCCACTACCCTATTCGATATGACTTTATAAATAAGTATAGAATGTTAGCGTGTGTTAAGCTATCATGATAACAAGAAGAAGAATAGATATTTCACCAAGTCATAGATTGGAAATAAGAAATATTTTTTCATGAAATTGGAAATGAGAGGTTCCATGAAAACCACTCTCTCAAAACCCGGACGAGTCGACCCATTTATAGCACGTAAAATTGCAAGAAAGGGACATTTAAAAAAGTTCTTACTCTAGTGTTATTCTATTATTTTAACTGAGCTATTCTTGTATATATATTTATGTGATTTGTTTCTAAGAAGCAGCTCTAACGATTTGGATGGAATTTTATATTTAAATTCTAGATAGGTTTCTTCCTTGAGAATTATTTTCTAACGACGAGCAAAGCCTGTCTCTAAGTTAATTGGTTAAAGATTTAGCAATAGCATAGTCATTGGTCAGAGTAGAAGTGTATTATAATATTATAAGTGTTTTTTTTTTGTAGTTAATATATCAGTCTGTTTTAATGATTTTCCTGATTCGTGACTTTTAAAATATATTATTTACGTATTTTAAATTTAGCGCTCTATTATGTATTTTAAAAAGCAGTGTCACCTACAGGGAAAAAAAATAATAAAATAATGTACACCAAAATAAATCGATTACATAAAGTATAAAAACGATATAGGCTGTATATCATTTTTATCCTTTGCTAGTACATTTGTCCTTTGTCTTTCAAGGGCAAAAAAATATGAAAGCGCTTTTAAATTTTTAATAGCAACAAAACTGGAAAATAATTTTATTATCAAACTGCACTTATTATTATTATTTTTGGGGTATCTATAAAGTTTTCTCATCTGGTTGGGCAGTATAAATATATAATTGTAAATGAAAATGGTAAACATACATAAATATGAATAAAATAAAATAAATACATAAAAAATACATAAATATATAAAAACCCAACCAGATGGAAGCCCTCGGCAGGGGAGACCAGACGGCCGAGGGTTAGGGGGAAAGGGAAAGAAACCGGCGGACGATGCGGGCGGTATCGAGGAGCACCGCCTTCTGCATTTGAGCCTGGAGCGGTCCGTCACGGAGTCCCAGCCGCCTCAGATGACCCGGGAGGCTGACTGGGATTAACCCATTCGCAGAAACGACCACAGGAATAATTTCGGTCGGCAGACCACCCCACATGCCGGTAACCTCGTGAGCCAGGTCCAGATATTTTGTCACCTTATCTGTTTCGGCTTTCACGAGGTTCTCGTCATAAGGAATGGTAATGTCGACCAAAAAGATCCTTGACTGTGCCCGGTCCATCAGCACAATATCAGGCTTATTCGCAAGAATAGTCCTGTCTGTGATGATGGCCCGGTCCCAGTAGAGCCTGGCGCGGTCATTTTCGAGCACGGCTTCCGGCAAGTACTTATAATACGGCAGTTTCCGATCCACGAGGCCGTATTTCAGAGCGAGCTCCTGGTGTAGAATCCTGGCTACTAGATTGTGTCTGTGCAAATACTCAGAGTTAGAAAGCGCCGAACAACCGGAGATGACATGCCTAAGTGACTCACCGGGATGGCGACAAGCTCGACAGATGTCGACGGCGCCATCCTTTAGGATGTATCTCCGATAATTGTTGGTCTTAATAACCTGATCCTGTATCGCACAGACAAAACCCTCGGTTTCCCCAAAGAGGTCACCGAAACGTAGCCAGTGAAGGGATGCGACTGTGTCTACGAAAGGCTCATGTAGAGCCTTGTAGAACCTCCCGTGGAGCTCCTTCTCCTTCCATACGGTCTCCCGGTCGGAAATGCACTGTACTGCTGGGTCTTGCCATTGCTCGTTGGCTAAGGATAGAGGGGTCAGTCCTTTATCACAAGAAATAACGTCCCTATAGTATGGATCATCCGCTCTCGTCAGAAAGTAATTACGGAGGCTGCACACTTCGCGATTATGCATGGTAAGCGCGCTTAAAAAGCCGCGCCCGCCATGCTTCCGCGGCAAGTACAGCCTCATTACTGACGATCTCGGATGATGCATCCTGTGGGACGTCATTATAGTGCGGACTTTTCTGTCCAGAGCGTTTAGTTCGGTCTGAGTCCACCTAAGTATGCCAAAGGTATACATGAGAACAGGCATGACCCAACCGTTATATGCGTGCGTCTTATTCACACCGGACAAAAGGCTGTTAAGCACTTTGGTCAAGCGTGCATAAAACACATCGCAAACTGACTGTTTCATACCCGCCTCATCTACACCGATGTTCTGTGACATACCCAGGTATCGGTATGTTTCAGCCTCGGAAAGGGTCCTTATGTTGATGGGCATAGATAAATCTATGCCCTCGGAGTTAGCAACCCTTCCCCTTTCAACATGGAGGACCGCACACTTATCCGTCCCCAGCCCCATTCCAATAGAATTGCTAAAATCACAAGTGATGTTTAGCAATTCCACAAGATGAGAGCGACTGGAGGCGAATAACTTGAGATCATCCATATAGAAAAGGTGGGTCACTTTTGTACCTTCCCTCCGAAGCTGAAATCCCCTCCCGGAGCCCTCCAGTAAGGTACTGAGAGGGTTCAGAGAGAGGCAGAACCAGATTGGACTCAGACAATCGCCCTGGAAGATACCCCTTCTTATCCTTATGTGGTTCTCCGCAGCCGTCATCCGCTCGCCTAGATGACAAAGGATCGTACTCCACTGCCCCATACACTGCCCAAGGAAGTATCTAACTGTACAGTCAACCTTGTACAGCTCGAGGACCCTCTCCAGCCATGTATGAGGCACCGAGTCGAATGCCTTTTTGTAGTCTATCCAGGCGGCGGATAGGTTCCGACGGTTGCGTTTAACCACTTTGCCAATGACCGCGTCAATGAGGAGTGGTTCCTTGGTTCCACGACCACCGCCCCGACATCCATTTCCATTATTATTATTATTATTATATTGATATGAAATAGGGAATCATAAGATTCTGAAGCTAATAAAAAGAACACTGAGTATCAACACCGGGTTTTGTACACAGAAGTGTAAAAAACCCGGAGGAGTTATCGCGACCACATACAAAATCCACATCCGGACGACCATATAGATTTTTTTAAACCGTTTTTTTTTTTCAAAGTTGCAATATTAAATGATTTTTAGAAAATATAAAATGGATTAATTCGAATGTTTTCTTGATATACGGCTACTCATATTATTGTAGAAGTGCAATATGGTTATGATGGAAGGATATTAGGAACACAAAATTGCTTGACCTTGATGTGT